TTATGCAATCTATGTTGAAATTGGAGCTAATTACTCTTTGCATCCTCCTGGTGGTTGGAGCAACACCGCAGCCAGTGAATTTGCAAACTATTAGAGAAGCTTTGCGTCCTCTTGTTAGTGCCTCCAGTTGGTTGAATGGTAATGGTCAACCAGTTACTTTTTCACAAAATCAAAACTTGTTGTCAATGAGAGGTCCATGGACTTTGCAATCTGGTGATGCTTTGGGAGTTTTTGATACTTATCAACAAGCTGTAGTTTTCCCTTCCAAGAGTGCTCGTGTTACTCAAACCAATAGTAATGGAACTGGTTTTGCCAAGTTGAATTGGGCCAAGCCAATTGCAGGTCAATCATACAATCTCACTGCTATTACAACTGGGGGAGGTCAATTGCGTCTTTCATTCAATTTGGATTGTTCAGATTCTACAAAGGTAATCAATAGTGGAGCTCTTAATAATGGACAAAGTTTCGTATTCACTTGGCCAGCCAGCAATTGTTGGCACACATTGTATGCTATCAGTGGACTCAATCAAGCTTCCACTGTCTCTGCTTCTCTTATTAAGGTTTAAATAAAAATTGCTTTCCTTATTACAATACACTTTTAAATTATTCTTCAAAATTGCAAAATTCGAAAATCCACTTGTACTCCCTCAGTAAACAAAACTCCTTCTCCAAAGACAGATTCTTTCAACGTACTAATAGCAAATATTACAACAATTAACACACCCGAACACTCTAAAACTCCTCTAATTGCTTCAAATATTAGATAAATTACCATCATTGTCATCATACGTAAACAATTCAAAGGGCACCACCATCACATTAGAATGGGCGCACCATTAATGGCAAACCCTGCAAAAAAATAAAGTGGATGGTTGTTTAGTGTTTTTGTTTTTTAAGAAACTCCTTAAAGATTTATTAAGCTGATACAATAATTTTAATAAATCCAACTAAAAATGCAGGGAGATTTTTCAAGTGGATTAATTATTTTTAATAAAACCATCCTTAATTATCACGTGCCCACTTATAAATATTTATAATGGGGGAATGGTGTTGTGAGGTGTTAATGAGATAAATTATAACCATTTTTTATTAAAGACACAATAATTTCATTCCTGGATGAACCATAGTTACATTTATACCATTTCCATTGTCAACTTTAATTACTGGAATAACATTAAATGTTTCTTTAAATTTGGAAATATTATTTGTTTCCACATTTAAGTAATAAAGTTGACCATTTTGTTTGTTTTGAA